AGATGAATGGATAAACAAAACGTGGTGTATACATACTACGGACTAATATTCTGCCTTGAAAAGGAAGGAAGTTCTGACACACACCACGACATGAATGAACCTTGCAGACATTATGCTAAGTGAAATAAATCAGTCACGAAAGGACAAATACTATATGCGTTCATTTATGGGAGGTCCCTAGAGCAGTCAAATTCATAGAGACAGAAAGCAGAATGGTGGTTGCCTGGGGCTGGGGGGAGGGGGAAGAGGGAGTTAATGTTTAATGGGAACAGAGTTTAGGTGTTGTAAGATGAAAGGCTCTGGAGACGGCTGGTGGAGATGGCTGCATGACAGTGTGGACGTACTTAATGCCACTGAACTGTGCGCTTCAAAAAGGGTCAAGATGGGAAATTTTATGTTACGTATATTATACCACAATTTAAAAATAGGTAAATAAAATCATGTATTCCTCAATCCTTCCAAGCCTCCCCAGAATGATGGAATCACCCAGGATTAAACAGCTGGCAAGGGCAGGGCCATTTAGACATTCCACGCATATGTAAGGGCACACATGCTCACAGGCTCACAAAAACCCAGTCTCACTCTTAGTTGACTGAGGTCTTAGTGCCCCGCCTTCTGGATCTGAGTGCCTCTGACTTAGTGGGGGGGGGGCGGGGGGAGAGGTTGGCGTGGGGGAGATGCTGGTGGAGGGAACGGTGAACTTGCAGCCACCCAGTCAACACAGGAACCAATCAACCAGCCAAAAAGAGGAAGGAGATGGTAGATGGTAGAGGAAGTTTCCAGCCCCACACAAATGACTGAAGGAAGAAACTGAAGAGAAGCCCCCAGGAGAAGTTTCCCATCCTTATAGAAAAGGGGTTAAATATGTGGGGTCTGGACCCTGACTGTCAGGTTGGAATCCTGGCTCTGGTACTTTCTAGATTCTAGTGTGATCGTGGACACAACTTGAAATTCTCTGTGCCTCAGTCTAGTCATTTGAAACGAGCTTAGAATAGTGCTTGGCACATGGCAAGTAGAGTATAAGTATTTGTTAAATAAGAGAAAAGGTCCTGTATTTCACCCTCACTCCTATGCCTCAAGGACTGGGTGGTTTATAGTGCCGTGTAGAGGGGAAACTGAGGCTTGGAGAGGTGCAGTGTCTCCTGTGAAGAGGCATCAGAGCTGAACGCGTGTCTTCTGACTCTTGATCCCAGTTCTTGCCACTGCATGTCTGCTGCCCTCTCCCTGTGTCCCTTGGTGGCCTTTCAATCCCGAGGCAGCAGTGGTAACCAGGTGGTACAGGGAGCATTGGTCAGGGTGAGTCACAGCAACCCCTCAGAGCATCAGAGCATTCTCTGGCTTCTCCGACTGCTTTTGCACTGAGGACCTGTCTGCCCTGAAAGGACAGCCCTAGAAACAGACTGTGTGAGACTTTCAGACCCACACAAGCCCCGTCTGCGGAAACCATTTCCTTCATCAGTTCCGTTAACAGGGTGACTGATCGACCCAGGCATCACGACTGCCCCGCCCTTGGCCCATCTCGTCCACGTGCCTGGTTCTTGGAAAGTGGACAGGGCTAGGGAAAGAAGGTGCGCCTTTGTGTGTTTTTTAATTTGAATGGTAATTCATGAACATAGTACAGAATTCAAAGGCACCAAAGGGTGTTTGGTGTAAGCAGAGTCTCTCTCCCCACTGACAGCTCTCTTACCAGAGGCCTCCGCCCCATGATTAGCTTCCTGTGAAAGGAAGGACACCCTTAAATCCATGGATCTGCCCTTCAGGGAGTTGGTTCAGATGGGCAGCAGACAGTTGCCCCAGGGGAGAGCGAGTCTGTAAAACTGGTGGCATCAAGTGACTTGGGGAGACAACCAGAGAGGCAGTTCTGAGTGGGGTTCTGCCTCCCGCTGGGTGCCCGTGTGGGTGGGTCATTGTCTGCCGTGTCATCCCTGGGCTGCTTCTCTCCTCCCTTAGTGTGAACCCCAAGAGGCAGCCTCGGGTTTCTTATAAGCCTTTTGCAATTAAGGCTGGGAGCGCCCATCCCTTCTCGTGAATATGGAAGAGACGGGTTCCTTAATCCGTGTACAGACAGGGTCGGGACACTGAGGAAAAACAGGGATCAGCATCATAGACCTTCCTCCCGACCCACCACCTCACCCGCCTGCCTTTTTGTTCCCTTCGCTTTCATGTCTCTTCCCCACCCCCAGCTGCACACTAAACACGTACAATGAGCGGTGCCTGCGCTTCCCATGGATTTATGATTTATGGTTATTCAGCTTATTACCTAAGTGGTTTTGCCAGGTAAAATATTAAGGCACCACTGCCATTATAACCTTGTCTTCCATGATCTCATTGGCAGCTGGTGTTGCCATGACAACTGGGCTGGAGGAACTGGTACTGAATTTCAGTGGAAGAGATGCAAACACTGGTGTGTGTGTGTGTGTGTGTGCACGCAGACTTCCCATCATGTGTATCTGTTGTGCAGAAAGCCATAGATTTCTCAATCCTCACCTACTGCTTCTCCTTCCAGTTTGGTCAAAATTAGCTTCAGGGCTCTAAATCAATTAGAAGCAAGCTTTAGAGGATGACTTCTTTGTGTGGCTTTTGAGTAGCAAATTGGAACCAGGGACACAGAAGAAATATCTTCGAGGCTCTCTACCCACATGAAATGAAGCAGCTACACCCACTGGATGTCGCTCCTTTAAAAGCACCTTGGGCCTAACTTATTGAACATCTTTGTGTAATTCTCTTATTAGTCATAGAAAGTCAGAGCTGGAAGGGGCCCCAGATGTCATCTCTCTAATTTCCTTTTCATTTAGATGAGAAAATTGAGGCCCAGAGAGGCTAGGTGACTTGCCCCCATACAGTACGGTCCAGTGAGAGGCTGTTGGCTCTGGAATCCCACTGCCTGGCTCGAGTCCTGGCTCCAGTGTGTATTTACTGTGACCTCAGCCAAGTGGCTTACCCTCTAAGTCTCAGTTTGTTCATCTGTAAAATGGAGATAATAGTGAGAACAACCTTACTAGGTCATTGTAAGGGTTAAGTGAGATAATCCACAATATTTGGACATATTAAACCCTCAATAAATTTTATCACTATTACCCAGGGTAACACTGAGAATCAGTGACAAAACAGAACTAAAATCCAGCTCAGCTAACTCCCACTTAAACTGGACCCTTTTCCCATTAATCCCGTCCTGTCCTTTGTTCCTTTTTGGTGTGTATGTTGCTTGTCATCCAGGGGAGACTGGAGTTCCCTTTTGAGATGAGGTTGTCTTTTCTTAAAACCTCCTATGAAGTGTGTACAATGCAGTCCCTAGTGGATACTTGTTGATTTGAGGATAAACATTACATGCTTCATGCACTCATGGAACGTGGATGGAATGTACATGGCATGGGTGTAGCGTAGGAGGGAAAGAATGAGAAGAAAACTTGAGGGAAGTGAACGTTTTTTGATCACCTCGAATGAAAGCAGGCAGTTTGCTCAGCTCTTTACAGATGGCTTTAATCATCACAACCACCCCATGAAGTGAGCATATTCATTCCCGTTCCACCAACAAGAAAACTAAGGACGGAGTAGGTCTGCAGCATCCCGGGCTTTACACCGCAGGTGGAGAGAGCTGGGTTTCCACCCACCCTTTTACTGCAAGGCGCTGCTGATGTCCTCAATACACTGTGTGGTTCAAAAGAATTTCTTACCCCCTCTGTGAGCCAAAAGCACATTTCCTGAGGTGGTGAGAGAGATTCAGAGCAGACTGATACCTTTTCCATCACTGACACAGAGTCTACAAAGCACAGTTGTGTAACTCTGGGGGTCCAAAATGTTCTCCTGGTCTAACCTGACTGGCATTGAAAGTCACACCAGGCTGGGTGGCTTTACAGAATGCCACTTGTTTAAACTTCCTTTCATCACTCTGTCAAAAATAAGAGCAATGCCGTGGAACCTCACAGTCCTGTTCAGAGGAGCAAGCTGTTCTGGGGAAATTTGTTTCAAAAGGTGTTCTGCATTAAATACACGCCCACTTGGGAGGGGGCAGTGATCCTATATCGTCTGTCCTAGGTAATGAGGCCATTAAACCAGCTGGTCTCTGCGCATCTTATGTAAGTGTGTCTCAGTCTCTGGGTGAGTTGGGTAAACCAGTACACAATTTAACGGCAAGAGGTTTCCTAACTGGGACTTAGAGATGGAGGTCAGATGTGGACAGGGGTGCCCAATTCCTACATATGGGGCCCAGAAGGGGCTGGATGACTTGTCTAGGATGTAGGCTGACACAGCCACTATGCTTTTTTTTTTTTTTTTTAACTAACACAGTATGTTTATTTGGCCTTGGGGGATCGGGGACGCTGATGAAGATTTGGAGGAGATAAAGGGCCCCTGGCACTGCAAGACGGTGCAGAACTAGTGGCACAGGTCTGTACTTTGGAGACAGACTTACCTCTCCGGAGGGAGAGAGACCCAGCCCTGCCTCTCCACAATCGTTTCACTGTGTGCATGTTACTGACCTGACTTATTGCACCTGCTGAAGAGGCCATGTCCCTCCGCCTAGATACTGGGGGCATTTCGTGAAATAAGGTAGGTGGGAACTTAGAAAATGCTGGTTTTTCAGTAACCCCTATGATAAACCCATCAGATGAAGACATCTTTTTAGTATCAGTAAGCCTCATCGCTTTTATTCCACACAATTTTCTGGGTCATCAGATTCTAGGAGGTGCGCTTCGGTGCCATCTTTGCATCCTAGTCATACCCCCAAAACGTGCTGACGCCCGGCTTCGACCCAGAGGTGACTATGCAGACCTTCAGCGCGGCCCGCAGCACCGTCTGCCCTCCCTCCCCCCCCTCCTCCCCAGCCTTCTGAGGCTGGGGCTGGAGGGGGCACTCTCCAGATCCGGGGCAGGAGGGGCGTTCCACGTCGTACGGAGACGCCGTCGCATTCCCAGTGGAGAAAAGCCCCAAAGGCCGCGGTTTTTATGTAACTGGGATGATGTAACCGCTGGCTGGCCCGGGATGCGGGGCGGGGCGGGGCGGGGGCACCGGGAGCGCGGGCCCGCGAGACTCTGCGTGCGGCGCCCGCCCAACCATGCTCCTCTACCGCAGCGCCGTGTGGTTCGCCAAAGGCCTGCGCGAATACACCAAGTAAGGATGCAGAGGGTACCGCGCCGGGGGCCGCGGGCCGGGGCTGCCGGTTGGGGGGCAGGCCGTCCGGCTGTCACGTGGCCAGCCTCGGCGTGCGCGAGCGAGGTTAGAGGGGACGCGCCCGCGACTTCCCCGCGATCTCTTGGACCCACCAAGCGACGGAGGCGCCCGTTAACTGGCAGCCCGCGGGCAGATGTGCCTGCGGCCGGCGCGACCCCCGCACCTGGCTGGCGTCCGGGGGCGGGGCCTTGCAGCAGGCCCCACCCACTGACGTCAGGCGGCCCAGGCGCCTGAGAGCCTCCAGGGTGTTCCCTTGGCACCCTGCTGGGCGGGCTCCGATACAGGCTCCGTGGGGCTGTTTTCGGCGTCAGACGGGGTTAGTTCTGAGCTGCTAGTCGAGATTCTGTTTAGTACTTTCCTGGGTGTGTTTTTTTCCTCACTAATTAACTGCGGCTTGAGGACTGTGACCTCTCCCTCCAGCTGGAACATTCCGGGCGCGGGTTTCAGGTCAGCTCTGCACCCAGTGTGAGCTTGCTGAACGGTGCTGGATGGTTTCAGCGGCCCCGTGATCGCCCTCGCTGTGGTTTTAAGGGGTGGCCACTTCTGGCAGAAACCACCTCTCCGGTGGTTTTTATCTTAGAATTAGTTAGGCTTACGCAGTGGTTCTCACCCCTGTCTGAAATCAGAAATCACCAGTGGAGAATTTAGGATACCATTTTCCAGGCCCTCCCCTTAGAGATTCTGGTTCAGCTGATGTGCACTGGGGCCTCGACAGACATTTTATTTAAAAATCCTACAGGTGTTTCTCCTGTGCATCCCAGTCATCTCTAGGAGACTTCCTCTCCTCCCTGCACTAGGGTTTTTATCAGTTCCTAAGGCAGCCCGGGCAAATTTCCATCATAGCAGGACTCCAGGCATCATTCCAAGGGGAGACAGCTACTGCTGCTCCCTTCTCTGCACCCCACATCCTTCTGGAAAAAGTGCAGACCCTCCTCAGGGGCCATTGCTGCAGAGAATGTGGGAAGTGTAGCCGTCAACCCTGACCCACTGCATTTAGGTGAATACCATGGCCGCCTCTTTCAAAGGGGTGTACAGGCAGTGGCCACCATTTGCTGGATCTTTCCATGTTAACACGGAATGCAGCATGAAAAGTTTGAGTCAGCTTCCTGCCCCAGGAAAGCAGGCTTCTAAAAGTCTCTCCCCAGACTCTTCCATGAAGTTGGAGGGGTGCAAACTTAGGCGGGTTTCCCTCTATTATGTATTTAGTGAATTGGAGGGAAAGACAACACCTTACTTTGATTCCAACTTGAGAGTCTGTAGTTTGGGTTTACAGTGTTTTTTCTTGGCACACCAGGATTTTTATAAAGCTTCCTTATGTTGGGCCCCTAGGCAGCAGGATCTAGTTACGGTTTCCTAAACTTGCCCGAACCTAAGAATTACCAGGGGGTAGTTCAGCTACAACAACTGACTCCTAAGCTCCTAGCACGTGTGGGTGGGACCTTAGCAAATTCCATATTGGATAAACTGGGGGAAGCCTGCCGGGGAGCTTGATTCTTGTATTCAGGGAGTTCAGGAAACACTAAGTACAGTAGTTGCTCAGCTTGAATCAAAATCACCTGGAGAGCGTGTGAAACCACTCACTGATTGCGCGGCCTCACCCTGGAGTGTTTGACTCCGTGGACAGATTGCCAGGTGATGCTGATGCTGCTTGTCTGGGGACCACTCTGAGCGTGAGGTAGAAGGTGCCCTAGGCTGGGGTGTTGGGCTTCATTACCTACCATCTCATGACCTTGGGTAAGTCATTTATGTCTCTCTATGTCTGAAAAATAAGAACTGAAATCAAGAGTTTATAAAGATGAAAAAAGAGGGTGGGAGGACACAAAACAAACTAAGTTGTCTTATTAACAACAGACTGGATCAGGATGGAATCCCTGTGTTGAAGGCAAAGGACAAAGGGAATTATGACGTGTCCTTTAGCCCAGCCTGGCACCGCCCACTTGGCAACTGGCTCACAGTCTGGAGTTTGAGGAAGAGGTTTAATCCACAGGAGCCGTCCTCAGCAAACCTAAGGCTCTAATAGGATCGATGTGGTAGCCCAGAGGTTAAGGTCTACTCTAGCTGTGTGTCACAGAGAAAAGCCTCTCAGCTTCCTGCCCCAGGAGGAGGGGGCTCTTGGGGCTGGGTCCCTGTGGGGCATTTACTTGGGGCATGTTCTCTGGCCCTATGGTGGTTTGGAAAGCTCTTCCTTGCTCCCCACCAGTGCCTTGTCCTGCCTGGGCCCCTATTCACTGACTTCCTGGCCCTTGATTCTTTCTGAGAAACCTCTTTCCTCTGCAAGAAAATCTTTTCACAGTGATCCTGGGACCTTGTGGGTAAAAACAAATCTTCCAGCTTCATCTTTGGTTATAGTTTAAATTACTCTCAAAGTCCCTAATGATTTGAAGGGCTAGGGGGTGGGGTGCGGGGGCAATGAGCTTAGTTTTGAATGTGAAAGGTATTCATGTCGTTATTAATACTAGTAATAATGATAGCAACTATTATTTATTGAGCTCTTAATTTATTCCAAGTGTGTGATAAATGCCTCACATACGTTATCTCACCCAGGCTGCCCAGGAAGTAGCTTTTATTATCCCCTTTGTGCAGATGAGAAGACAGGAGCTCAGAAAGGTTAAGCCAACACATGAGACGGCACAACTGTTAAGAGGCAGAGCTGTGATTTAAATCCAAGTTGTTTGATCCGAAGCCCTTATGATTGATATTATTTTTAGTTTCAAGTCAGCCTTTCAGGAGGCCTTGGAACAGTCAGAAGTCTTGCTGGCCCCGCTAAGCGGCCCAGTAACAGCGGAAGCAATGTGAAGGGCATTCTCTGAGCCGCCCTGGATGTTTGGGTGCGTCACAGATGGTGAAAACAGGACCATTCTCCTAGGTCTCTTGACTGTGAGACCAGGGGCCATGACCGCCCCTGTGGCAAAACCAGACCCAAGCTCATAAACATTCTTTGGCCCTCTTCACCAGCGTCCAGGCATGTAATTGGCAGTTGTGCTGTGCCAGGGCATGGGGCAGGAGACCAGCTGTTGGCAGTCTGTGTGTAAACAGGGCGCAGGGAGGGCACTGGGCTTCTTCCAGAACCTTTGGGGGAAAGAGTTGCTTTCTGCATTGCAGGGAATCAGCTCTTTGGGTGAGAGACACAAGCTGAGACCCCAGCCTGCTGGTGTGTGGGGAGAGCTCCGCCCTGTGGGTCTCCTCCTGCCAATCCCCCTACACTCTGCCTCTACCGCCTCAGCCAATTTTGTAACTGGGAAATACTAGGACAGTAAAGCTAGAAGAGGAAGCTCAAAAAGCAGAGAGAAACAGTTAAGGAACTCAGGGTGGTTTCTATCCAATATGATGCCTTTGTGCAAATTAGAAGAAGCACCTCCCTCTCTATGTGCTTTGCTGTCATCCGGCAGAAAGTTGTCCTGATGCAGGTACGAATCTCTCACCACTGTGATCGGAACGGCGCCTCCTAGGGTTGTGCAGCACACACCCTGTGGCCCTGAAGGAGGCTTGCTTCCTCTGAAGGCGTGCAGCCCTCATATAACCGCACCTGTCCCCTCCTTCGTTCCCTACATGCAAATCTATCCACTTTGCCGTGGTCCTTCTATACCTGGGTAGAGACACCTGTCCTGCGGTGCAGTAGGCGTGATGTTCCTGGTCTCCTAAGCTCATCTCTGCTCCCCCCACTGTGGGAAAAAGGCCCCCCCAAAGATCTATCTATCAAAGGGTTTTTTGGGATGGGGGGCACCTCCTGGTATCAGAGGCAGTCAGAGAAAGGTAGTTTGGCCACCAAATTGTTGGAATCGCCAAGCATTTTCAGTTCAGGAAGCTAACGGTATAGGAAATGTAGGCCTGGAGGAGATGGTGGTGTTCATGAGACCAGGGAGGATAGCAGGGGGAGCCCAGGAAGAAAGGGGCTGCAGGATGTGCCGGAGAGAGCATGATGCCCAGCGCAGAATTAGGCTTCCTCCCCACAGGAGATTGTGTTCCCAGCTACTTACGGCCATTCCTTCTGTGGCTCTGCTGCTTCCAGGAGTGGCTATGAGTCTGCATCCAAGGACTTCATCCCTGATGAGTTGGAGGTCCAAGTCCCTGGAAGAGCCTTCATGGTCACCGGGGGGAACAGCGGCATTGGAAAAGCAACTGCCTTCGAGATCGCCAAGCGAGGTGAGCAGCCTGCTAACTCGTGCGTGCACTGGGCCCCGAGGCCAGCCTGTGGCCGGTCCACACCGGGGAGAGTGCCCTGTGTCACAGGAGGGTCAGGAAGGCCGCAGCCAGCACAACCAGGAGCCCTGAACAGTGACCCTGTGCTGATCGGCACAGCTGCTGTGTGGTAAGCTTCAAGCTAGAGGCGGACAGAGCGAGTGACTGGAGGAGGCTTTTCTCAACACGGTTAATTCACAGGAGAGTTGGGGTCCTGTCCACATGTCATTGTTTTCTGATTAAGAGCAGTGAGGGGATCCGGCCAACCCTAGGCGTCTGAATCACCAGTGGAACCTTAAAACAAAAAACACCTGGATACTTGGTCTCCAGTTCCTGTCTTCTCAACAACAACGGGGTCGGGGGTGGGAAGGATACTGGGAGTCCCTCGCAATTTTCCTGTGGACCCTAGTTAAGAACCAGAGCCCCCAGAATAACGGGAGAGGGGCGTGCAGTGAACTTCCTTCTTCCTTCCTGGTGTCCAGCCTTCAGGTTTCGAGCAGCTGGAGACAGCCTCCCCTTTCTCCTCCCTAAGCTTGATTTGGGGAAGCGCCTCTCTGGGTGCCCGTAAATTATTCAGGCAGCTGAAGTCTTCCTCCTGGTAAATGCCGGAATTTCCTGCATGAGCTCAACTGCCCTGGGTCACTTAGTGGCACTGTGGTGGCTAGAAAAGCCTGCCGTGTCTCTCCAGAGCCCCTTCTCCAGGAAAAATGGATGTTCCGGCAGAAGTTGGGGAAATAAGTTGGGAATTTATCACTTTTCAAGATGCTCGAGATTTTTTTTTTTCTCTAAAATTGTTAGGCATTTTTCAGGGGAATATTATACCATTTGGAGTTGTATTTAATTATCTGCCAAGTCAGGGGGAAGATTAACTGCATCTTAGCAACTGGGAGGTACTCTGAAGAGTTGTGGGGACGAGGATAAAGCAGACGGGCTGGTTGTGATTAGCGTGTAGCTTCCCATTAAACAGACCCCATTTTAAAAAGCAGCCATTTTAGGTGAAGAAAGCAGGTTCCATAATGCTTACTTCTTAACTGCCGCAGACAACGTAAGTCCCCTTTAAGTAAGCCTTGATTGATGACGGTATGGCTTTTGCTGGAATAGTCTGAGAGCCATTTATGGACTCAGCCATTCAGTAAATATTTATCGAGTTCCTGCTGCATATTAGGCTGAACATTAGACTCCCTGGGGAGCTTTTAAAACATACGCAGGCCTGGGCCCGTCATCTAGAGCTTTAAAAACTTCCCAGGTGGGTCCAAAGTGCAGCTAGGTGGAGACCTGTGTGTCAGGTACTCTGTGAGATGTTAGGGATGCTGGTATGACAGAAACTGACCCTTCTTATCCTTGATATATTCAGACCCTTAAGTCAGGATGTTGTCCCAGGTGCACCGTCAGTCAGCTCAGGTAGGCAGGAGGACGGGTTCCAAGATCACCCTCTCTCTTACATCTGCTGCTCTGACTGTGGGGACCATCTGTCTAGATTTTCCAGAATAGTCTCCATTTCAGGTACTCTTTCTGTGAGCCCGTATGTCTTAGTCCTTCATTTGGAAAAGCTGGTCTCCATAGCTGTCACTGTCGCTGTCCCTCACAGACGGTTTTGTTGAATTCCACCAGGTGGCACAGTTCACCTGGTTTGTCGAGATCAAAACCGAGCGGAAGGTGCCAGAGGTGAGATCATCAGGGAGAGCGGGAACCAGGTGAGCTGCTCTGTGGCCCTCCTGCTGGGGGGTTCCTGCCTGCAGGGTCCGCAGTGCAGGGGGCTGGACTCCTGGCCACGTGCCCCGAGTTGGCAGTGGCCTGTTTGTGCTTCCGCTTGGGAGGCAGCCTCAGCCAACAGAGCTGGAGCTGCACTTTTCTTTTCTTTTTTCTTTTTTCTTTTTTTTTCAATGTGTTTCAGGACAGAGGTCCTATTTTATTTTATTTTATTCTATTCTATTCTATTTATTTTTGCTGTACAGCAAAGTGAATCAGTTATACATATACATATATCCACTCTTAAAAAAATATATATATATATATTTATTTATTTGGTTGCTCTGGGTCTTCATTGCGGCACACAGGATCTTCGTTGCCCCATGCGGGATCTTTAGTTGCAGCATATGGACTCTTAGTTGCGGCATACGGGATCTAGTTCCCTTACCAGGGATCAAACCCGGGCCCCCTGCATTGGGAGCACGGAGTCTTAAGCGCTGGACCACCAGGGAAGTCCCCATATATCCCGTCTTTTTTAGATTTCCTTCCCATTCTGGTCACCACAGAGCATTGAGTAGAGTTCCCTGTTTTATACAGTAGGTTCTCATGAGTTGTCTGTTTTATGTATAGTATCAGTAGTGTATCTATGTCAATCCCAATCTCCCAATTTCTCCCACTCCCCCCTCGCTCCTCTGAGCTGCCGCTTTTCAAAGTCTGGGCTGGACTGGGGATAAGGGGGGCAGTGAGATTTGATCCCACGCCCCATGAAGGCATCAGTGCCTGCTGGGGAGACATGATATGGACGTGGCACTGCTGGGGTCGCCCCCACAGAGGGAGGCCACGTCAGTGAGACACATCAGAGGTGACTCAGGGTGAGCCAAGCTGTAAACTGACCCAGTGGTCTTCGGATAAAGAGGGACAACAAATGACATTTTGGCCTTGATGAGAGCCACTTCCTCTCGAGAGCTTTCAGAGCTGGCTCACGGTTTGTGGGCTTCCTCTTCTGAGAGAGTCAGGAACCAGGACTGGCTATATAATCTGTAGGGCCCAGCGCAAAACGAAAGTGTGGGACCCTGGTGTTAAAAGCCTAAGAATTGGAGGACGGCGAAGGCATAGCATTAACACAAGCGGGGCCTGTACTCCAATAAAAAGTAATTTAAAAAAAAGTTCCGGGGCTTCCTTGGTGGCACAGTGGTTGAGAGTCCGCCTGCCGATGCAGGGGACGCAGGTTCGTGCCCGGTCCGGGAAGATCCCACATGCCGCGGAGCGGCTGGGCCCGTGAGCCATGGCCGCTGAGCCTGCGCGTCCGGAGCCTGTGCTCCGCAACGGGAGAGGCCACAACAGTGAGAGGCCCGTGTACCGCACACACACACAAAAACAGTTCCCCCTTGAAGGCACTCTGGCTTAGTAACACCGTAGAGTCTCTAATAAGAACAAAGTTAACAGTTCCAAAGTCCGAAGTGTTATTGCTAGGAGACTTAAAAATCATCACAGTAATAACAAAAGGAATGAGTAATCAAAAAAGAATTAAGAAATAAAAAACAAGCGGGGCCCACTTGTGGGGTCTGTGCACCTGTGCAGGTGGTACCCTGGGAAGCTGGCCCCGATGGAGGCCCCTGAACTCCCAGTGTCAAGTGGAGAGGAGGGGGCTGGCTGGCAGTGACCACGGGCCCCTCACCTTTGCTCCAGAGCATGTTGCTTCCAGCCCCACCTGGAGTTTCCTCCTCTGTCCTGTGCACCTGCTTCTCCAGCAACTGCCCATAGCCGAGGGGCGGACAGTGCCCCGCGCCCTCAGGCTTGGGCCGTGGCTAAAGGGAAAACAGATGCCCCAATCTAGAATGGACTATTTTGCCTCTGCTCATGAAGGTTATTCCACATCTTGAAGTAACGTTTTCAAGGCAAGAGACTTTCCGCAGACTCCGCAGCCTCTTGCCATCAGATTCCTCCCGGAGGCTTAGGGCTGGCTGAGAGCTCGAGGGTCTCTAAATCTTCCTCTGACGTCTGCAAGGGCAGCTGCGATCTGGGGGCTGCAGTTCTTGAGATGGAAAGCTGACTGTCTGCCTGCTGATACCTTTCACTGGTGCTGCTGCAGGATGCAACAGGAATACTAATCTCAGGCTATGGGCAGGGGAGGCTCTGTCTGGATCCCAGCCCACTTTGGTTTGGGCTATGTTTTTCTACAAAGTGGATCTATATAGAAAAAGAGGACACGATGCTGTTTACGCTGTTGAGACCTCCTTATGTCCAGATGCACCATCTTTGGGAGGTAGTGCTGAAAGGGGGAGCAAGCATGTTTCCTGGGGCGGGAGGAGAGGGAGCCCTTCACCTGCGGCCTCCCCCCATTCACGTTCACAAACCCACGGGAAATCCTCTCCTCTTTTGTGTTTGTAAGTGGCCGCCAGCACTGAGTGCTCGGAGGGGCCGGGGCCGGTGGTGCCCATCTGCTCATCCCCGCGGGTGTGGTTTCCCTGACTCATGCATCCTCCAGGCTGTTCCCCGGGATCGGCTGCTACTTCCTGTTTGTAAAGAGGCACCACTGCCCAGCTTCATCAGGGGTATATGGGAAGGAGCGGGGCTCCCATCTGAGTGCCGGTTCTGCGCTCTCGAAGACTTGTGAGCTGGGGCAGTGTGCTTAGCTTCCCTGAACCTCAGTTTCCTCATCTGAAAAGTAGGGTGATACTACTTTGTTCATTTTTGAACATCTCTTTGAGTGTGAACGTGTCAGGCAGCATGCTGGGAGCTGGAGATTGACAGCCCCTCTCAGTCTTGTAAGGATTAAGCGATCAACAAGCATTTTCAACAAAGGATGTGTGCCTCCCTGGGCCCGCCTGATCGGCTCTGTATCACGGTGGGGCAGGGAGGTGTGGATGGCGTGGCTTCCGAAGTATGTGTTCCCCCAGCTCCCACGTCAGCCACCTCGTGCCTGCGTTTGACCATCGGCGGGTATTAGAGGAAGATTGGGAGGAAGGGGGCGGGAGGAATGGGGAAACAGGATATCTGGCCTCCGTGGCAACAGCTGAATCTCCGCTGAGGTTCCTGCTTCTGGGGGCGAGCCCTGCTCTCAGGCTCAGGTCACATCAGCCCCTCCCGTTGCTCCTGCAGCCTAGGGCTGGTGGGCGCTTCCTGCTGCTGCTGGTCTCCGGGTTTCTTCACCAGTCCCAGCTGAGTTCTCATCTCCCTTCTCCTCTGGGAAACCAATCCCTGCGTTCAATTCCCTCTGTTGCAAGTGGTTTCTGTTAGACCCTGGCTGACATAACATGGTAGTGCTATGACATGGGAAGTTCAGGGTATCATAGTATGTACAGCTCTCGATCCATAGAAGCTATTACTGTTATTGCTGTTATCAACATTGTTTATGCTAATATTATTACCACTCCCAACCTTACCTTCTCTGCTTTTCAAGTTCCCTAGTTCTCTTTCATCAGTGCTTGGGCCGGTAAAGCAGGGAGGGAGGGCACTGGTAGGACTGGTCCTGGGTGCATAGTTGGCTGGACATCAAAGAGCAGTGGTCCTTTGGGCAGGAGAGCCTGGGTGGGGTGTGTGGCAGGCCAGCTGAGCCAGGCGCGTGTGGGCAGGCTGGGCACCAGGGAAGGACAAGGTCACGTGGGAACCAGCTGCTTGGACGCACTGGCTTGGTAAGATCAGGTGTGTGGAGTACGGAGAGTTCAGTATCCTGCCACGGGGCTCTTTCTGGAGAGGGTGTGTGTGGCCCCAAGCTTGGGGGAAGGAGCGCTTGTCACAGAGCAAACTCCCAGGGCAGCAGCCACTGTGTCTGGCACAATGTTCCTGATGGGCCCAGGGAGAGAGTCAGAGTGGACCCTCCTTCAGCTCCTCGCCACATGCAATTCATCACCATCTCGCTGCCTGGATAGAAGGGCACCATGCTTTTGTCTGGCAGTTATCTCCTTGGGAAACTCTTTTTTTTTTTTTGGCCACACCGAGTGGCATGTGGGATCTTAGTTCCCCAGCCAGGGATCAAACCCAGGCCCCAGCAGTGAAAGCACAGAGCCCTAACCACTGGACTGCCAGGGAATTCCCCATGGGCAACATTTTAAAAAAAATAAACTTTAAAATTTCAGAATAGTTTCAGATGCATAGAGAAGTTGTGAAAATAATGCAGACTTTCCATTTACCCCACACCCAGTTTTCCCTTTGCTAACGTCCATCTTCCATGAGTATGATTCATTTGTTAAGCAAATGAACCAATATTGATACATTATTACTAACTAAAGTCCATTCAGATTTCCTTAGTTTTTACCTAACGCCCTTTGTCTGTTCCCAGATCCCATCCAGGACCCCACGTTACATTTAGTTGTCATGTCTCCTCGTGGCTGTGACAGTGTCTCAGACCTTCCTAGTTTTTGATGACCCGGACAGTTTTGAGGAGTGCTAGCCAGGGGTTTTGTATACTCTCCCTCAACTGGGATTGGCCGGCTGTGTTTCTCATTGATTAGAATGGAGTGATGGGTTTCCCGGAGAAAGATCACAGAGGTACAGTGCAACCTTTGCGCTTCCTGATATGGCTGGAAGGTGCTGTCAATGTGCTTTCTGTCTTGTGGAGACTGATCCCATCAACAGCAAAACACCAAGATAAAAAACAGGGGTTTCTACTCTCCAGTTCTCCCAGGCCAACGTGGAATTCCACCTTCTTAAGAATTACTGGTTTAGCTTCCTGAGTACTAGACATTAATAGTAACTATCACCTCGTTCCTACATAGTGATTTCTACTTCCAAGGGCACATTCATGTACTGTCTCCCCTTTACCCTTCAAACTCACCCTCTGCCCTGGGTAGAGGCTTCCCGTGATGTCAACTCATGACTCCTGGGCCACCCAGCAGCTAGATGATGGTGGTTCACCTATAGGAAGGATCCCAGTTGAGTTTTGCTCAGTTTCAATAACCAGACTTGTATCCTCTTTAGGTTTAAAGAGTGAGTACAGGACTTCCCTGGTGGTACAGTGGTTAGGACTCTGCACTCCCAATGCAGGGGGCCCAGGTTCGATCCCTGGTCAGGGAGCTAGATCCCACATGCGTGCCACAACTAAGAGTTCACATGCCATAACTAAGGAGCCTGCGTGCCACAACTAAGACCCAGTGTGACCAAATAAATAAATATATAAATTTTTTTTTTTTTTAAAGTGAGTCTCCTAGGTCCAGCCTCTTCATGTGTAGATCAGCAGATCAGGGTTTTACACACTGGCACCTGCCTCGTTCCTTCCCCTGGTCACAGCAGACTGCTGGCCTCTCCTTCTGGGTGCCTTTGGGCTTCCTGGTTTCTCGCAGAGGGAGCCAGATGATTCCCTTCACCTTTTCAGGACACTTCATTTCACCAGGCTCCAAGGTTGATTTGTCTATAATGGCGAGTCCCTCTTCCCTGCTGCTGCCTCTTTTTAATTCTGCGATGCCTTGGGTGCTTCCAGGAAGCTCAAGGAGATTGAGGGATGATCAGAGTAAAATTGATTTTGGCTCACTTGAATTTTGTTGCTCATTTGAATTTTGTTGTTTCTTTGAGCCTGGCTTTGTGAGTGTCGCAGCCCTGCTGGCGGGAGGGAGTTCCAGGGTGGTTGCCGGGAAGTACTCAGAACGAAAGGATTAGGTGTGTGGACCTGGTTTGCCATCACTGGTAGACGCTCACGGCCGACCCAGGTGTGAGTCAGCAGCCTCATGTCCGCTCTGTCTGGGTGAGGGCCTTCAGAGACTTTTTAGAAGAGCGTAGTCCTGTACGGACAATGCTTTTCCTCTCCCTTGAAGGCAGAGGAAGATTCAGTTGTTCCAGACTTAAGCCAAATATGGTATTCAAGCTGATTACAGACCTTCTGAGGCATGAAAATGTGGGATTGCTTCTGTTTTCTCGTTCTCTGAGCCTTTGTCTCAGGGTGAGGAAATATGTTTTAAGATCAATCAGTAGAAAGAAATTCTGACTTGCGTTCAATGGCTCAGTTAATGGGGCAACTGAGACAGGGCCCTGAACTCTGCTTTATCCAGGGAGTTACAGCTGTTGCTCAGAGTTTTGCCTGTAGGTTCAGCTCCCAGCAGCAGGAATCTGCCTTGGGTTGGTGGTAAGTCCCTGACGTCTGCTGGAGCGCAGGGGGAATAGCCTCACGTTCACTGGATGTTGAGAAGACAAGTCTCAATTATGTGCTGAGTACAGAGAAAAAGGGGTAAAGGGACAGCATGCATTGATCATTTATGTGCGTGGCTGTGTGCCCCACCGTAAAGGAGAAGGGGGCATTCAGCATGGCTCCTCCATCAAGGAGTTCTGAGTCTACTGGGGGAGGAGGCCATTTTAATGGCCACAAAACATACGTTTGCATGGATGTGTCATAGTTTCCTACCCATCATTTGGGAGTTTTTGTCAATATTTTGCTCCTAAGAGATTATCGAAGGCACATCCTAACTATAAGATGACAACTTCTTCTGTGACTCAGTCCTTGCTTACGTCGCGTGTCAGTTTCTGCCTTGTGACATTGTTACCTCTGGACGCAGCCTCCTCCCCCAGTAGACTCAGAACTCCTTGATGGAGGAGCCATGCTGAATGCCCCCTTTTCCTTGACAGTGGTGCACACAGCCATGCACATAAATGATCAATGCATGTTTATTGCGTCTCTATTTGCAACAGCCAGGACATGGAAGCAACCTAAGTGTCCATCGACAGATGAATGGATAAAGAAGATGTGGCACATATATACAATGGAATATTACTCAGCCATAAAAAGAAACGAAATTGAGTTATTTGTAGTGAGGTGGATGGACCTAGAGTCTGTCATACAGAGTGAAATAAGTCAGAAAGAGAAAAACAAATACCGTATGCTAACATATATATATATGGAATCTAAAAAACAAACAAAAAAAATGGTCATGAAGAACCTAGGGGCAAGGCGGGAATAAAGACACAGACCTACTAGAGAATGAACTTGAGGAAATGGGGAGGGGGAAGGGAAAGCTGGGACAAAGTGAGAGAGTGACATGGACATATATACACTACCAAACGTAAAATAGAGAGCTAGTGGGAAGCAGCTGCATAGCACAGGGAGATCAGCTTGGTGCTTTGTGACCACCTAGAGGGGTGGGATAGGGAGGGTGGGAGGGAGATGCAAGAGGGAAGAGATGTGGGGATATATGTATATGTATAAATTTGTTATAAAGCAGAAACCAACACACCATTGTGAAGCAATTATACTTCAATAAAGATGTTAAAAAAAAGAAACTCAACAATAAGAAAACAACCTGGTTAAAAAAAAAAAAGAAATAAGGTAGATTTATATATAAGAAAAAAATCTCTAAAACATATTGTTAAGTGAAAAAGAAGGATATAGAACAATGTATAGTCTGATCCTATCTATATGGAAAAGGGACACACACATAATGCTTAAAATGTATAATATATAATGCCTGAAAAATACATTTATAAATATTGTATGTACTTAAAATATTTCTGGATGATTTGCAAGAAACTGTGAACAATGGTGTACTTCTGAAGAGTGAGACTTTCCATTTTGTATCATTCCAAATGATTTGATTTTTAAAACCATTTTTTTAAAAAACCATTTTTAATGAAAAAATACATGTTATCTTTTTTTTTTTTTAAGGCTTTACAATTTTTTTTTGTTTTCTGGTTTAGAACATCTTTCTGCACATTGTGGACTTATCTGATCCCAAGACAGTCTGGAAATTTGTTGAAAATTTCAAGCAGGAACATACCCTCAATGTCCTGGTGAGCTTTGTAAACATAAGTACGGGATAAATCTCATGCATGTGCGTTTCTTGCCTGTGTGGTTGTAGACTGGTGTGTATGTTTGTGGATCTTTATGGTGACACCTTAGTGAGAATCTTTTATGGGGAGGCCTGTTCAGTTATCAGGTTCACTCATTGGAGTCAATCTAACCCTATTGGTTGGATTTGTGGGGAAAGGAAGGGACCATCCACTGGGTCTGTGAGGGGGATGCGGAGTTTCCATTTTTTTCATAAAATGATGATTTGTATACTGGTATTCCTGAACTCTGTAGATTTGGGGGTTGCTATATTAAAATAAGAGGCTCAGGGGGAAATTAAATAAAAAGCTTAGTCCAAAAGAACGCTTGCTGCAGACAAGCACATCTTTTAGTAACACAGTCAGTTGCTCTCCAGAGAGAGCTAGAGGACTCAGGTGGGCTGGTGTCCTTCTCCTCCTCGCATATACTCTGAGCTGAGCTGCGTTTCTACCCAAATAGTTTCTAATGTGCTCCGAAATGTTCACTCAGGCTCAGGTCTACTCTTGCGCTGTCCAATATGGCTACGGAGCATTTGAAATGTAGCTAGTCCAAATTGAGATGTGCCACCAGTGTACAAACCTGCCGATGTTGAAGACTTAGTGTGAAAAGTAGAGTAAACAGGGCTTCCCTGGTGGCGCAGTGGTTGAGGGTCTGCCTGCCGATGCAGGGGACACGGGTTCGTGCCCCGGTCCGGGAAGATCCCACATGCCGTGGAGCGGCTGGGCCCATGAGCCATGGCCCATGAGCCTGCGCGTCTGGAGGCTGTGCTCCGCAACGGGAGAGGCCACAGCAGTGAGAGGCCCGCGTACCACAAAAAAAAAAAAAAAAAGAGTAAACTAACATTTTTATATTGATTACATTTTGAAATGATACTCTTTTGGATATATTGAGTTAAATAAAATATTAAAATCAATTTTACCTGTTTCTTTTTACCTTTTTAATGTGGTCACTTTCTAGAAAACTTAAAATTATATATTTCTATTGGACAGCGCTGGTCTAGACGAATTCCTGGGGCACTTTATCACGAATTAGGTTGCCGGGCCAAGCCCTGGTCGTTGGAGGTCTCTGCACAGTCCCGTGGCTGAGGCTGCTGCACAAATGGCATTTTCCAGGACGGGGTTTGGAGTGAAGGGACAGTTGAGCAGAACTGTTGTCGTCACGTGAATGTGGGACCAGTGGTGGTGGTGGAACTGTGGGGTTTGGGAACAGGTCCTTTGGCCCTATTTTCCTTTATTTTGAAATGGGAACTGTACTTTCTAGATCAATAATGCAGGTTGCATGGTCAATAAGAGAGAGCTCACGGAAGATGGACTTGAAAAAAACTTTGCTACCAACACTCTGGGTAAGTGTAAGCAGTTTTCTTGTTTGCTTTTAGCAGAATAATTGTAGACATAAATGATACTGTAGGAGGATCAGAAAACATTGATCTACTTTTTGGGTTCTTGGTCCTTGGCGTGATTGCATTTACTTTAAATTTATCCTTCACTGCATTATTATTTCTTCATAAAACACTCTTTTCATGTTTTACATAATATGTGTTAGTGCCAGGAATACTTAGCATTGTTAAAGTTTTTTTTTCTAGGAAGCTCAAGGCTCATTATAGACATGACTTTGGTGAGAAGGGCAAGGTCATCTTAGGTAGAAAGTGCAAACATGAAAACTGTAGCCAAGGGAGCTTCCAGCCAGGGCTGAGAAAGGTGCAACCACGAGACCAGAAGATGGGCCAAGAAGGGCACTCACCTGGAATGCAGGACCCCTGGGTTCCGGTTCCTGCTCTGTAATAACAGGCTGACTCATTTTGTGCCAGGCCAGTGATTCTCAAAGTAGGGTTCCTGGGCCAGCAGCATCAACATCACCGGGCAGCTGGGTAGAAACGCACATTCTTGGGCTTCACCCCCAGCTCTACTAAATCCAAAACTAGGATGGGGCTGAGAAATCTGTGTTTTAACAAGCCCTCCAGATGATTCTGATGCACACTAAAGTTTGAAAACCAATGTACCAGGATTTTAACCTCTTTGGATTTTCTCCGTCTCAAACCAAGGGGTCTGGAGTACAGATCTTCCTCAGCTTATATTGGGGTTAGGTCCCAGTCAACCCATCATAAGTTGATCATATAGTAAATTGAAAATGCATTTAATCCACCTAACCTACCGAATATCGTAGCTCAGCCCAGCCTACCTTAAACATGCTCAGAACACTTACATTAGCCTACAGTTGGACAAAATCATCTAACCCAAAGCCTAATTTATAATGAAGTATTGAATATGTCATGTAATTTATTGAATACTTTACTGAAAGTGAAAAACAGAACGGTTGTCTGGCTCTAGAATGGCTGTAAGTGTGAGGGTTGTTCACTATTGTGATCACCTGGCTGACTGGAAGCTGCGGCTCGCTGCCCTGCATCCCGAGAGAGCATCATACCGCATATCACCACCCCGGGAACGTTTCAAAATCCAAAATTTGAAGTGCAATTTCTACCTAATGTGTATCGCTTTCACACCGTCATGAGTCAAAAAATCGTAATTCAAACCATCATAAGTCAGGGACCAACTGTAGACTATTTCAGTGCCTTTCAACTCGGAGATGCAATGAATCTAAGATTCTCCCCAGTGACTATACCATTTCCTCATAGGAAGTGAAGCTTTTAATAAGGCATTTTAGTTTTTATTTATTTATTTATTTATTTATTTAATTTATTTTTTGCGGTACACGGGCCTCTCACTGTTGTGGCCTCTCCCGCTGTGGAGCACAGGCTCCAGACACGCAGGCTCAGCGGCCATGGCTCACGGGCCCAGCCGCTCCGTGGCATGTGGGATCCTCCTGGACTGGGGCACGAACCCGTGTCCCCTGCATTGGCAGGCGGACCCTCAACCACTGCGCCACCAGGGAAGCCCCTTAATAAGGCATTTTAATTCATCCTAAGTCACAAGATGAATGGCGGGGGTTCCTGTGTTTGTCGTTGAAGGTGTCCATTAAATAGTAACCCTCTTCCCAGCCAAGAACTGAACAATTTGAGGATTAAGACAGTGGATGAAAGCCCCAAATCACTGTTGTTACAGATAAGGCTGGTTGAAGAGCATGGCTCACGTGAGAGCCAAATGGCTTCCTTAGTGCTAAACCCCAGAGTTCGCCAGCCTCACTTGCTTTGTTGCATCTGGCTGGCCTCAGACAGACACCACCAACCCCTCCCAGGAAGAGGAAGACGTGGGGAGCAGAGCTCAGCAAGCCCAGATTACTACCCCTAAATTTACTCCAGTTTTTAAGTGGTCCCCGTCCTCGCAATGGAGAGAGGAAGGGGCTGAGGGAGGATGTTCATTGTTCTCCCTCCAGGAGAAAGAGAGCATCTGGAGTGGGGAAGAACCTTTCTCCCTGGCACTGAGGTTGCATTTATTTCTTCTTAAACAAATCCCTGGGAGCTTGCTATGAAACGCTGCAGGTTTAGTACAAAATATTCCCAACGTTCGCTTTGTTCCAAATGTGGTATCCTTGCCCAAAGTACAAAAGTACGCACATGTGGGGTCATGCCGGGGTTTGCCTTCTAACTCTTCTGGGTGGCAAGGACTCCTAGGGTCCTAGCAGCTGGCCTCCCAGGTGGCTGCTCTCCAGGACCAGCTTTGTGATTTGCGGGGCCCAGTGCCAAACAAAAATAGGGGGCCCCTGTATTCAAAAAGTGCAGGGCCCTGTGGGGTTGCCTGCTCTGCTGCTTCCCCACCTGCCCATCCACCACCCAGCTAAATTCTACTGGGTGTGCGCTGCATGCTGGGCACTCGTGGGTGGCGCACGTATATATGGCACTGAACCCACGTGACCACCCTATGATGGAAGTATTCCTGCCTGTACATAACAGATGAAAACACTAGACTGAGAGAGCTTGCATAACTTGCCCAAGGTCAAGTGGAGGAGCCAGAATTTGAACCCAAGTCTGTCTGCCTCCAGAGCCCATGTTCATAACCAAGATGAGTTCTACCAGCCCCCAGCATCTCCTCCCTCAGACCCATCACTGCGTTATCGTGAGATAAGTGCTAAAGGGAGGCTGGGAGGGGAGTGACCAGCCATGCCAGGAGAAGCATGGCCCAGGGCTGGGGACACTGCTTAGAGGGCCTCCTGGGAATCTGCCTTGATTGAGAATGTGGGGCAGATCTGATAGACGCTCAGGGAACTGCCTTTTTTTTTTTTTTTTTGCCATGCTGCAAGACTTGCTGGATCTTAGTACCCCCACCAGGGACTGAACCCAGGCCACCGCAGTGAAAGCGCAGAGTCCTAACCACTGGACGACCAGGGAATTCCCTTTTTTAAAAATTTTATTTTATCATTTATTATTGTTTGGTTTTGCTTTTGCCTTTTTGATTATACAGCTGATTATGTTGTACTTTTGTTTTGGATCCGGTCTGCTTCTAAGGACCTTGATATCTCTTCATTTTCATTTCCTACCTGTGTTAGAAACATTTTATTGATCTTGCCAACCTCTCTGAGAAGCATAGTAATTCTCATGCTTAATATTTATTCATCCTCTCCAGAGGGGAAGACGTAGTCCAGCATACACAGAAGCAAGTCAGTGACAGAGAGGGCAGCTTGACGTGCCTCTGCTTTACAGATGAGGAGATACAGAGAGGTTCAAATATTGTCATTCTGAAGCAGGTGCAGAGCCAAGCAAACAGCCCGTACCTCTGTCTGAGTCCTAGGAAACTGCTGGCTGCCTTGCTAACGTGAAACATGTTTTCATGGCCTGATCATGTAACACAGGTTAGGTCGTTTGCTATTTTCTAAGATTCCATTTGGCCTCTAGAAATACTTCCAATCCCCAGCCAAACATCAGTAGGTTCCTGATACTCTGAGGACAGGACACAGTAGGATTTGCAGAATTTATCACCAGATCCTAAGAGTTCGGGAGGTGGTGGATTAGTGAAATACTGTCAGAGCCCATGGCTGCATGTGGCTCTTTGTGAAGACATCACAGTCTATGAATCAGATAAAGTTTGGAAATCATTCTCCCTCTCCTTTTGCGGGGATGGGTGGGGCATGGAGAGGTTTTCATAGTTTACTCTCCTAGGGACAAAAATGAGCCGCCCCAGGGTAGATTTGTGGGGAGACGAAGCGCGGAGGTAAAGTGATCTCGTGAGACAGATGCTGTTTGGTTGCTGTACTTGCCCCTGTGTTTCGGGTCTTCTCAAACCATATCCGTTTTGCCTGTTGGCATTCAGTGGCATTCAGAGCCCGTGAGGAGTGAAGACGGATGTGTGTGTGGGGGGTGGGGGGTGGGTAGGGGCGCAGTGCTTCGCTGAGTGCTGTGCTGGCAGCTGGCCACAGCCCGGGCATCAGCCGATCACAACTCTCACCCGCCTCTCAGCCCCTCTCACCCACGGCACACGAGACAAGGATGCCATCCACCTCCTCCGAGACAGCTGTGTCATCAGGTAGTTGACTGTAATAGGCAGTGGTGCCTTAGATCTTTGGCAGAGGGTGGGAAAGTTCACTTGAGGTCATTCTGGAAGGACGTACCTACATCAGTGTACGGTACATGTTCTGTCCCTTCACAGTCTGTTATTTGGAGCTTTCTGCTCACCGGCATAGCTCCACACCCAATGGTAACTGCTGTTTAAAGCAGGGACCCAGGGTCCAGAAACAGCTTAATAATAATGATGATAATAATAGTAATAATAATGGCACACACTGAACACTTTCCATGTGCCAGGGGCTCCACTAAGTGTTTTTCTTGGACTATCTCGTTCAGTTCTCATAACAACTTTATAGATTTCATAAACAAGGAAACAGGATCAGAAGTAGTTTGAAATCAGAGTCTGAGTGACTCACCTTCCTAAATAAAGGACAACAAAATTATATTTGGTCCATTTTTGCTATAGGCTTGTATCTCTCAGCTCTTGCTACATAACAAACAACCCCCAAATCTCTTAGGCATACAATAAATAAGCATGTATTTCTTGTTGACTCTTAGGCAGGTCTGCTGGGTGGGCTAATGTCAGCTGAGCTCAGTAGGGTATCTCTAAGCAGCAAGTTGGGTCTGCATTATGTTCCAAATTCTTGCATCCTTCTTGGACCATTAGGCTGGCCAGAGTATGTTCCAGTGGCAATAGCAGAAGCCCAAGTGTGCAAGCACATTGCAAGCCCCTGCTTGCTTCAGATCTGCTAACGTCCAGCTGACCAATGCAAGCCATTTCACAGAGCCCAAAATCGAGAGTCAGGGAAACATACTCCTCCCAGGTAACTGGGGAAGAGAGGGTGAATATTGTCAAACAGTAATCTACGACAAGGGTCTATTTTATTACATTCTAAGTCTTTGGAAATGGGTCATCTGAGTTTGATGTGGTAACTATTAACCCCAAA